CAGATTTATCCGACAATTCTTTCTGTTTGTACAGTTTCTGGCTTTGAGAAATGGTTCACGTTTGGTGATGTCTTTCGAAAACAACATTCTTTTCAAAACCGCAGGCGGCTTTTCTGGGATTCGGGAGGATTAATCTCAACCTTCTTACTGGGTTTTATTAGCAATAATAATAATATGTGCAAGTGTGTGTCTTACATTGTTTTCTACTCCGCTGTAGTCCATGGGCGGGTAGAGGCAGAGGGCCAGGTCGTCAGCGCTGAGGAGAAACGACAGCAACACAGAGAGTTGGTGACAAAATCTAAACTGGTCGACTAAGTGTCCACCAAAGCCTTTTTTCCCTGAGGCCTGCATACTTTTATAAATTGCTTGCAATGGGAGTGCCACACGCTGAAGAGGACGGCAACGTTAAAGCTGCTGAGAGAGCTTTAGGTAAAATGTTAGTTTTGAAGCTGCTGGCCGACCCACTGGAGGAAGCTCAAGACAAACAGCATCGAGATGTTTCTTCACCAATAAAATCTCACAAACACATACAGACTAACCTCTCTCCTCCTTAGGCAACGGCCAGAGCAAGAATTTTACATTTAGTACAAGGTGAAAACTCTGCACCTGGCATCTTCAGTTGGCAAAAAACTCCCCCATAAAAAACACTTAGGTGGACACGCCTCTAAAGTGTTTATTGTACAGCTGCATTGTTTAGGTAATTATGAAAATCCCTGACATCATGCACAGACAGTATGAACGCATAACAAGCACACGATGTTTATTTTGAATTGCTGCTGTGCAAACAATGAAACTGACCTCGTTCCACGCCCTGATGTCTCAGGTAGGAAGTGTGCAGAAAAATTAACTCCCCACTTTACTGTCTGCTCCTTGAAATGAAGTTTACATGATTCTATTTGTGTACATTTACAAGAACAGCTGCTAATAAGTGCTGTTTGCTTGTTTTCATTTTTCGGCTTGGTGAAACCATTTGTATTGGGGCAGCACAAGCTATGACAGAGTGTCCATGTGTTCCTACCCGGGGCTGATCTCTTTGCTGATGTCGGCCAAGTCGTCGAGCTGAGCCACGTTCTGGGCCGTGCTGCAGTCACCGTTGGCTTTGACGGCTGACGTCAGTTTCCTCAGGCAGGCCGTCGCTGCTTTCATCAGCCCCTGGCACGGACCAATCACGCGGCGGTCCTTCTCCGACCAGTACGTGTCCTGGTTGCCTCGAGGGTTCTCCTCATCCTGGTCGTCGTCGAGAACGTCGCTGAACGGATCCTCGGCCTCAGATAACGCCTGCGGATGTTCAAAAGTCGGTGTATTTGTCAAGACTTCACAGAGGAAAAGTGAAAGCATCATCATCGTCCGTCCTTCAGCAGCAGGTGGAAACATTACAGTTTATTTTTGACTTGATCCATCAGACAGATACCTGAAGACGACAGAGACTAATCTAAAGACCAGAGAGTTCCTATTCTGTATTTTTCACAATTGAAACAAGTCCCTTCACAAACCACCTGTTGGAGAAACAGTTGCTAACAATCTACAGTTTCCTGCTTTTTTTTTTTTAGCAAGACTTTTTAAGAATAAGAATACACAACTCTGGGTTGCAAGGTGGCTCGGTGGTTAGCACCGCTGCCTCGCAGCTAGAAGGTCGCTGGTTTGCGTCCCGGTGAGGACACCCGGGATCTTTCTGCGTGGAGTCTCCATGTTCTCCCTGTGCAGCGTGGGTTCTCTCCAGGTTCTCCAGCTTCCTCCCGCAGTCCAGAAACATGCTGAGGTTAATTGGTGATTGTAAATTGTCCGTAGGTGTGAATGTGAGTGTGCTTGGTTGTCTGTCTCTAAGTGTAGCCCTGTGATAGACTGGTTACCTGTCCAGGTGAACCTGCCTTCACCCTGAGTCAGCTGGGATAGACTCCAGCCCCCCATGACCCTGGTGAGGGTTAAGCGGTGTATAGATAATGGATGGATAGAAGACACAGTTCTGCAAAAGCATCCAGCACCTCATGTGTTTGGATTTTCACTCAGCACACAAAGCCACAAGAAAGGCATCTGATCGATCCCAAATTTATTCTGCAGCTTAAAAAGCCAAAACATGCAGACAGTTTGACAAACAATTGTGTTCTTTTTTGGTTTAAAAAAAGTTAATTCTTCAATAAAGACAAACCGCAGATCGGTTGAGTGTGAAGCAACTATTTTTCTGTACTAATAATTGTAATTTTTTATTTCCAACAAGTGGACAGAGAAGAAGTGCAAAAGTAAAATATCAGGGAGGCTCATAAAAACAGTTTGGCAATAAAAATCTACGTGTTTCAAACAGATGGTGGTTCTCTTTACAAGTAAGATGGACGAAGGTGTTGGCTGCCATGAGCATTTTCAGTGAGTGTGTGTGTGTGTGTGTGTGTGTGTGTGTGTACCTGTTCAATTTCCTCTATGGCGTCTTTTACGACTGCAGTCTGAGAGGACAGAACCACCAGCACTGCTGCCTTATTATCTGTGGAACGCACATGATTTTAATCAATAACAACAATAATCTGTCATTCGTATCTTTGAGGCAACAGATCAGAAATATGGTTCCTTCCCACCGTTGCCAACCGCTTGCTCAGAGGAAGTCCAAAGGCTGCTTTGGATTGTTGGGGTCTCTGAATAAATTTGTAAAGTCTGTACCTTACCATGTTAAGCACTGTGTGATGACATATGTTATAAACTGCGGCATACAAATAAAATTTAATTGAATTGAAACCTTTTTCAAGTCCACACTAAAGCATTAACTTAAACAGTTCACCTTTATGTTAAAGAGCAAACGTGTCTTTGGGATTTCAAATAGGAATCAGCGGCTCTACTGTGTTTAGGAACAGGCAGGAAGTCACCATCAACTCACATTCATGCTCGTCTTCGTACAATTCCAAAATTTTAAAATGTAAAATTACAACGATTTGACGCTTCGTCACAGTGGATGAAAACAATCTTCAAGATGGTGTCATTCTGACAATGCGCAAAGAAAATATAAAACTGATTTTCTGCCTACAAGTCACAACGAAAGCCTCGTTTGACGGTGAATTAAAGCTTCCGTTTATTATTTTAAAGATTCGTTTTACATTTTGATTTCAAAATGTGTGAAATCCAGTCAGGGCTGTTCCTCATGAAGAAAGAATAAAGATAATAATAAAAATCAAGATTTAAACCTGTCAATTGACTCGGTAGTTACACATGTACTGTCTGATGGTGTGTGTTCGGCTGCCAAACGCCGCTGATCGCAAGTTTGAACATATTTCGCTGTGGAAAGAAGCCAAACTAAACCCTTCACAGCCAGTCTGCAGACTGTTGCAGCAGTTTGTCTCTGTGATTTGATTTATATACCTACTGCTTCATTTGTTTTTTTTAAGAAAACTAGAACACTGTGATAAAGTTTTACATTTTATTGCTTAAATAACTGATAGAAAAGATTGAACTTTGTCACAACGCTCTCATTTTTGAGGTGCTCTCTTTCCGCCTTTATCTTTGTGACACATATTTAGGCCAGTGTTATACTTTCTGGGTTCACATGACGTCAGTTTAGTCTTCTCCCCATCAGAGCTGCACAATTATTTCTGAATGCTACACAGAGAGACGCTTTTGTTATTTACTGTGGGTGAACTAAACCCCAGGGTCACTTTATATTTTTGTATAACTTGCCCTAATCTGCTCCTTGTTTATGTCACTGTGACACACTGGGGTTAGGTAGGGCCAAACAACTCATCGCTTCCAATTTGTAAACAATGCAAATGGCTGCAATTAACGTGTCTGCGAGGCGCGGCCGTTAAACAATGCCATTAATGCTGTAAACTCAATCTAATTCTGGCATTTTGAAACTTGATCCCAATGACTGCCCTTTGCTCATCGATCACTAATTGACCAAAGCCCTGACTGTTCAATCGGCACGCCCCACACATTGTCCACGCGTCTTACTGAGGGTTTAAAGTGTTACGCTTCCCCGTGTGACGGTCGTCTCATGGCATCGCGTGTGACAATAGAAAATAACACCGCAAATTACCCGCAATTTGTTAATTTCCACAAATGGCTCAGCCCACATCAACAAGTCCCCGAGAGTCCACAGCCGCAAAGTTTGTTTCTTGAGGCAACAACACGCAGAATATGCAAATACAATCTACGGCACTTGTGTGTGAAACTTGAGTCCTGTAAAAACCTAGAAAAGTAGATTAATTACAACAATCAGATGTCTGTTGTGCCTGCAGGGGAGTAGAATCAGGCTCGTACATGTTGCTCGCAAAAGAAATAGGACGGCAGCTTTCTATTTATGCCGCGCGACTGCAAACACTGCAGCAGACCTATCAAACTCTTATGACCTTCTCTGTTTTCATTCTTTGCTGTTTTTAACATTCTTGCTGTTCAAACTAAAACATATTTAAACACTGGACATACACACAAGACACACACAGATATCAAGAGTCATTTCCTCCTTTACATATACATTTTTTTGTGTGTGTGTGTGTTACAGGTTGACAAAATAACTGCTGGTTGTAGAGAAATTAAGTCTAAACAAACAAGTTTTTGGTACATTAAAAAAAAAAAAATGTGTGGTTGGACTTTGAGCACAACATCACCACCTGCAGGATCCACGCGAACACTGCTGCGTCTACATCAGACGCGTCTGCAGCTGTGAATTACAATTAAAGAGTTTGTTTTGATGTGGACCAGTCCACTGACCTTGGGGCAGCTGAGCGAACTGGTCGCAGGCAGACCACACGCCTCCCGTTGACGTCAGCTGTTCCTGGCTCAGACTGGAGGGATGAAGAGGGCGGGGCATGAGGAAGGAGTGGACGACATTTGATTGAAACAAAGCAGAGAGACAAGGAAGAAGGACAAGAATAAACAAAACATACCTTACACTATGTAGAGTTTTTGTTTTGCTGAAAACAGAAGAACAAAACTCCTCTTCTGGACCAAAACATATGAGTATATATAAAAATATGGTTTAAAGTTGGATGTATGTGCTGCATGAGCTACAAAATTATCATTTAATTTAGTTTTGTTCAGAACAAAATCATTTACATTTTTTTTTAGGGATGCACGATATATCGGCGACCACATCGGTATCGGCCGATATTAGTGTTTTTCCGATATATCGGTATCGGTCAGATGAACAAATGCAGCCGATGCGAAAAATCGATGATTGTCTAACATCAGCGCCTTCGTCTCTACATTTGACATCGCTGCTATTTCACAGATGTTTTTACTTAGATGGTCCTGGATGTTAAAATATGTTGAAATATGTTTTATTTTTGCAAAACAGACTTGTGGTCTAACTTGCTATGGGCTTCTATTGAATAGTTTTCTCACAGTGCCTACTTAGACTAATTTTTCAGTGTGAACCAAAATTGAATATCGACATTGGTAATATCGTTGATATCGGTATTATTGGTTATCAGCGACGTCAGAAATCTTAATATCGGTATCGGCCAGAAATTTTAATATCGTGCATCACAAATTTTTTTTTTTTAAAGTATGAAAACGATACAACTACCTGAATTAATGGACTAAAAATGCACCTCATCCAGGATACTTCTTAACCTTATAAAACAAACTCATCATCTACATACAGTAAAAGCTAAACACGTGAGTAAACGCTCAACGTGCCAACTCGTTGTGACAAATGTACTGTTGGTCCATGTTTGTGTCTTTGTGTCATTTTGCTCAGCTGTTGCTGTGGATGAATCACAAACTAAATCTGTGTGTGTGTTTGTTTTATTCACCTTTGCAGCGGTGAGCTCAGGATGACCTCCAGCAGCTGTGTGACTCCCTCCAGCACCTCCACCGTGGCGTCTCGGACCTGTCGGCGCAGACTCACGCCTGACACACAGACAATAAATGACAACAACACTGCCATAAAATAAAGTAACAATGATAGTTTCACGTCTATATTAAACCCGTTCATTATCGCTGACTACCTCCTGAAAGCATCCAGTGACTGTTAGTCTGTACTTGACATGTGTTGATACTTAACTATCAAACCGAATCACATTTTACTGAGTATAATCTGACTGAATGATCCCTAAATAGAGGCAAAGAAAATTTTAAATCGAGGAAAAGGCTTGAGGCTTGCAGATTCAGTATCTTCTGTATCTTCTTTTAAACCACTTCTTAAAACCCACTGTTATAGACTCGCTTTTGAGTGAAGTTCTCTTTTATTTCTCTTTTAGATTTTCGCCCGATTCTTTTCCCTTTCATATTGGTACTGCCTGCTGTCCTTCTCTCTTTTCTCTTTCTTAATCTACTTTTATCTTCAGCTTTTATCTTAATTCCCCTCCGTGATGCCGTCTTTTTAATCAGTTTTACTAGTTTTATTATAATATACCTTCCAGTAGTGACCCAGCCTGTTCTCTTTCATTTTTATTGTGTGTATTTTTATATTTTGAGTGTTTGCCTGCACTTTTCATAGGTGTTGTTTTCCTGTGTTGCCGTGTCGTTGCCTGTATCGTATTTCTTTGTTATGTAAAAGCACTTTGTTCTCAAATGTGCTATACAAATAAAGTTTATATTAAATTAGATATACATATATAAAGGAAAGGCATCGTTCTACTAAACAAGTCACAGCCAACAATCTATCTCCAGGACTGTCCTGGTGGTGACATGGTGTTACCTTGACTCTTCGGCAGCCAGTAATACACTGTGGACAGAGTCAGGACACTCTTCAGGATGGACTCTGACAACTTCTCTCCATCCTGCAGAGGGTGAAGGAAAAAGAGACAGTAAACACACACAGAACAGAAAATGTATGTGACAATTCAATTACAGTAATTTCCTGTATTGTGGAGAAAGTCGTGTTCTTGTGCAGGTATCTGCAGCGCCAGACAAAATATAGGTGAACTGACAAGGAAGCTCTTTGCTCGTAACTCCTCCCTCCTCCTGCTAGCAGAGGAGGAGGTTCTGCACAAACTGTGATCCACCAGGAGGAAAATCTTTTAATTCCTCCACAATTTACTTTTAGAAAGATACTTACATGACACAAGAGATCATTGCTACTAGCTGCCAACACCTTTCATCATGAATCTTCCCACTACTTTAAGTGTTTCAGTCTATCTCAGGGGTGCCGAACTGCGGTCCTGCATGTTTTAGATGTGTCCCTCTTCCAACACACCTGATTCAAATGATCAGCTCATCATCAAGCTCTGCAGAAGCCTGATAACCATCCTGATCATCTAAAACATGCAGGATTGCGGCCCTCGAGGACCGGATGTCGACACCCCTGGTCTATCTTATGTAGTATATTATCTATACTTGATCACACTTCTCCAGAACAGCTCAATGAGGCAGCAAAGAGATTACAATAACAATCTGACCTGTTGTGATGGCAGAGGGGGTTTGGAGAAGGCCAGGCTCAGTTTAGTGGCTTCCTGGGACACTGCCTTCACTGCCTGGTCTGAGGAGAACAGTTCATATTTTAAGGGTCATTAAATGGTTTACAGATGGTGGTTTCATTTCCAAGTGGCTTCCGCATTGAACAAAACAAAAATTGGGACAAAACTGATATTAAACAATAACATCCCTAGAAATATCTCCAAACTAAACAATGACAACCAGTCATTACATATATAATTACAGTTGTCATATAAACAAGACATTACAGGCAGAGAAAGAAGCACATTGTTTGATATAAATGGTATCAACATATATTTTTAATTCTGATTTTGTCACCGAACATCCACAGCAGCAATACTTCTTTTCATGGGATCTCAATTAAGGCGTCTAGAAACTGAATACGTGGTCAGCAAGGGACAGAATAGAATAGAGTAGAACTGTATTGATCCCTTTGGCGCAAACCTCAGGGAAATTGTTGAAATTGTTGTCAAACTGTTGTAAATTGTTGTGATTGGTGTTTTGTCTTTTTCTTTTTCTTGCTGCTGCTGTACCACAGTAATTTCCCAGTCTGGGATACATAAAGTATTTTTCTATTCTATTCTATTCTATTCTAGGATGATTGCGATACTCAACTCAGAGTGTCCCAGAAGTTGGAGAGGTTGAAAGCCCCGTCTGACTCATTCGATTCTCCATCTATGAGGGAAAATTAACAGTTAAATAGGAAAACAATCCCACTTCCAGTTTTATGGACACACAGAATACTCAAAGTGAACAGATGCGAAAACCTTGAAAACTTTATGACTTTAGCACTGACGAATAAAGTTTCTTTAATTTATAACGTGTCTACTTCACTAAAACAGACAAAACATTCAAACATGGTCATTTTATGCAGCCAAAAAAAAAGATTGTCAAGTGTTTTAGTGCAGAGAACTGACCTGGGTGATGAAATATGCTGTGTGTGCTGCATTATAAAGGGTGTTTCTAATGTTATAGGATCCCCATTTAGATCAATAAAGGATAACTAGAACAAAATACAACTGAACAGCACCACAATCTCCAGTTTCTAGAAGAAACTAACATTAAAGCCTCCTTGAAGAAAGCTACTTAACTCGGGCTGAACTGGCCGGATGTAGTTAGTAGGGTGTAAATTACCTAATAAACTGTCAAATGATGCGTATTTCCAGATGCTCAAATAGATAGTTAAGCTTTACGCATTTTAGTACACAGAAATACTTTTATAATACTGTTAAGTCCAACGTGTTAGCGTGTGATGCTACATTACAAAACAGTGGATGCTAACGTTAGCTCGGTTAGCTAGCTTGACACACGCTAGTATGTGTACAGGCGATAAAACGGTGAAGACAAGGTGTCATATTCACCTCTGACTCGGTCCCTGATACACTGGATGGAGTTCAGCAGATTTCGTAAAGGAACAGACACGTTTCCACCAGAATTATCAGCGCTCATGTCACCAAAGTTTCAGGTTTGTTTTTCCACTACGCAGCGTTACAAGCGTGTTGTGGAACTACAGAGGCACCGGAAGTAGATCCGCGGACGATAATAAAAGATGCACCGCCGCCGCTCAGTAAAACTGGGGGCGACGTCTTGTGGCGAAACCTTAGTAAACCGAGTTTACTGCAAGAAATCAGTACTTAAACAGTTTAAAATATATTATTGATATCTTTAATGGTTTATTTTGTTTGAGCATAGCAGTCATTTTACAAGAAAC